CCCCAAAACCCCAAAACCCCAAAACCCCAAAACCCCAAAACCCCAAAACCCCTTGTTCTGCAAAACCCGTTGTATTTTCTTATGATAATTTAAAGTTATGGAAGGACTTCATCTTTGCCAGATAATTATCAACTCTCTTTTTCTTCTTACTAATTCAGCCATCAGATGTCTTGTTCTCCTTTCCTGAAGGGAGAGACTTCTTCTTGTTCCGAGATTTATTTACTTGAGACTCTCTTTCTGCTCTGGGTAGCCCTGTTCATCATCTTCTTCATGATTATAGACTCTCTAAATGAGGTTATGTTTGTCTTCACCATTTCTTTGTAGTTAGTCTGTCCAGGTATATTTCTGGGAGATTTGGACTTCGCAACTTGCTTGTTTAGAATCTCAGGTGTCCTCAAATAGCCCAAGCTTTGCTTCATTTTCTGAGAATTAGGAATTCTTTGTGTGAAATTTCCAGGTTTCTTCGAAATTTCTTCTTCAGAAGCTTCTTTTTGGTCTGGATCTTCAAAAATAAACCTTTTATTCTTGTCCTGCCCTCTATGAGTAACAGAGCCAGTATTAAGGGAATAAGTCTCCAGATCTTCACCAAGCTGATATACTTTATAGTCATTTATTGTAGTTATATTCTTTGTATCATAATGAACTGAGTAAGCTTCTTCTGGTTCTTGGAAATTACTCTCCATCTCATAGTTCTTTGTTAAGTACGTGGAAGTTTCAGATTTCTTCTTTTCCATAGAAATCCTTTCAGAAGGAGGCTCTTCCTCTTCTTCTAGCTCGTCTGGAGAAAATACCTGGTGAGAAACTTTATCGGTAAAATTGAGGGTTTTGAATGATTCAGTATTTGCATTAGAGTTCTTTTGATAATCTAAAATTTGAAAAGGGGTTCTTACTCTCAATAAATTTCTCTACTGGGTCAGGAGTAATGGAAGAATACTTATCTCCCCCATGGAGCAAGGGATGGTATTCATCCAACTTTTCATCAGTATTTGCCTGCATCATTCTCTGAAGATTAACCTGTTCTTCATTTTGCTTTCTAGCACTTCTTTGAGTAGTCTTGAAAATCTTATCTGGAGACTCTTCAAATTCAGCGATTATCTCTTTGTTACTTTCTGTGATACTGATGATCGATTCTTCTTGTTCATCCTTCAAGCTGGAATCAGGATCATATCTCAGCTTGACGGGCTTGCTCTCTTTCTGAGAGTAAGTATTAAGAGGCATTGTGTGAGGCAGATTTACAGCAGACTTTGAAAATTTGGCCACATTCTGAAGAATCTCAACATCCTTAGAAGCACTGGGTGGCTTTCAGACTTGATCACTAGAGTTCTAAACATTCAATCAAAGAAAAGATATAAAATTTACCTTAGTGGCCGGCTCATTAACAATTTCTATCTCTTCATGTACTGATTTTTCATAAACCTTAGTTCTATAACCAGAAATTAGCTCAAAATTTCATAAAATCAGCATACTCTTCAGCTACATCTTCTTCTTTTGGTTCTTCTTCTATTAATTTGTCAATAGAATTAAGATCAAAACTCTCCTCTGGCTCATTCTGTATATCAGAGACAGATACAGTTTGGAATTCATTTTCCTGGACTTTCTTAATCCTGTCATGAAGTTTATAGTTAAGAGTATATATCTCCTGAAGTTTCTTCTGCAAATCATGGTACTCCTTAAAAGCCTCTCTCTTGCCCTTCTCCTTAGCTATATCCTTCATCGCCTGAGAATAGATATCCTGCCATTTGTCAAGATCTTCATTTGACAGGTTTGGAAGGACAAAGTTTGTAGGGATCTTACCCTGAGCTATCTCTTCATAGATCTTATGACATAACTGAAGGACATTCTGTTTTGTATTGTTGACCATCTTCTTTATCTTCTCTATTCTGTCATCCTTATAAATTTTAGAGATTCCTTTCTTGTATTCTCTCCTAACCTGAAATAATTTTAATATTTTTAAGAAACTTGAAGCCTACCTTCTCACATTGAGAGCAAAAACTATTCTGAGCTGTATTTTGAATCATTTGTGCATTATCAGTTGTCTAGAGTTATGAAAATTAGTACCTCTTGATTCTTCATAGAAGGGAGGTCGATCTCTGACTTCAGTTGGACAGTGGCTATCCGCCAGCTTTTAAATTCCTTCATCGCTCCATCAAGCTTAGATGGAAGCACAGATGTATTAACAATGCCAATATCTGCAATGTATAAATCGAATTGGTGATCCAGAGTTGTTGCCATTTTGAATATTTATTCTAAAACTATTCGGTAATTTCAAAATAATTAAACTGAAAAGGGGTTTTGGGGTTTTGGGGTTTTGGGG